GTGCTCCCCGTCGTCTCCGGCCAGGGAGGCCATCGACGGGGGAGTGTGTTCCGCTCGTTGTGGGAAAAGGCCCTCAACCACTTCTCGCAGGAAGCTGGGCTGGAGAGTCTCCGTAAGGGGGGGGCCCGACGCGCGGAGCTTTTTTCGCACCGCGCGGTAAGGGCGACCCCAGGGGTCACGATTAAGACCCTCCAGCATCTCCTGTCTCTTTTCCTCTTTGGCGCGGCTAATGGCCAGCTTCAGAGTTTTCCGCGCCCGTCGGTACTCCTCATGAAGCCGGTCCTCCTCACCGTCTCCACGGTGACGCCGCCGACTGCGTGTGTAGGACCTCCGGGCACGTGTACAGGCCGCACGGAGGTCCGCCAGCTCCTGGGACCACCAGTAGACCTCCTTCCTTGGAGGCCGACGACCTCGAACGCGGGGCATGGCCGCATCGCATACATGCGTAATCGCATCGCGAAAGCGGCCAGCCCCCACGTCGACCTCCTCGGTCGGAGCCTGAGGAGACAGCCACGAGTGAATTATGGCTGCCTCCTCCAGTAGGTCCCAGTTCAGCCTGGCAACAGCCCACCGCGGAAAGCGGGATAAACGCCGCGCCACGTGACCCCTACTGGAGTCCTGGGTCCGGGAGAGCTCAAATCGGATATACAGGTGATCCGAGAGCGTCTCAACCTCTTCCAGGACACGCCAGTTCCTTGCTCGTGCGGCGAGGGCAGGGGTAGCGAACCCTTTTTTTTTTTTTTTTTTACGTGTGGAAATCCCCTCGGACCGTCACCCCGCCGGGGCTCTCGTTCGGCGGGGCGGTGTGTCGGACTCGAACCGACTAAAACCACACGGTGTGCCCTCTTTGCGCTTTTAGTTTAGGAGGGGTCCAGGTAGCTATCTCCTTCTGGACCCCTCCCAGCGCCGGCCCGCTCCTGATGCGGGCTCCGTCTCAGTGGACCCTCTCTTTAGGCGACGTCCGGCACACGCGGACGCCGCCCCCTCGCGGCTGGCCAACTAATGCGGGTGGAGGGGAGAACCCATCCCGTCCACCCGCGGCCACACTCAGGGCGGCATGAGGCGCAGGTGAGCGCGCCTCCGCCGCCCGGTTCGCCGGCGGCGGATCAGGTCCGAGTGGAGGTCGTCCTCCCGGGCCTTCTCCGCCGCCTCCTTCTGCGAGATTACCTCCTCGCAGAAGGTTGCGACCGCGGTAAAACAACTGTCGCTACCAGCCATGGAGCGAATTACGGCCGGTAGCGAGAGATCCGCTCCGATGACTGCAGTGAGGGCCCGGCGCTGCGTCGCCCATGCGGGGCAAACCGCCAGCGTGTGCTGGGCCGAATCCTCACCGCAGTCGCAGTGGTGGCAGGCGGGACTCGATTCCCTCCTAGCGACCGAGTACAGGTACTTTCCGAAGCAACCGTGCCCGGAAAGCACCTGCGTCAGCCGGAAGGAAAGGGTCCCGTGCTGCCGCCCTGCCCACTCGGCGATGACCGGCTGGAGAGCCTCCACGGCGGCGAAGCCAGCGCGTGGAGTCTCCAGCCGGAACGACCATCTCACCATAGTGGCTCGGCGAGCGGCTTCGCGCCACTCGCGCACGTCTTCGGGCGGAGGGCGAAAACCGCTCTCCGCCCGGAAGTCAGCCACTCGCCGATAAACTTCGGCGAGCACTTCCGCCTCCAAATCCCACGGGGGTGTTCCGGCCAAGGCACAGGCCGCCTCGGTGGACACCGTGCGGTATCCGCGTATGGCTCTGACCGCCAATATCCTCTGGGGGCGCCAGAGGCGCGCCCTATTCGGGGCGGTCAGAGCCGCCACCCACACCGGTGCACCATAAAGCGCCATGGACCGGACAACCCCCGCGTACAGCCGCCTCGTGGGAACACTGGCCCCGCCCAAATTGGGCAAAAGTCGCCCTAGGGCGGAGGCAGTGTCCACCAGCTTCGGACCAAGCTGTCGGAAGTGCTCGTCGAAGAGCCACCTACCGTCTAGGACCAGACCCAGGTACCTCATCTGGGCCCGGACCGGTACGAGGACCGAGCCGACCTCGATTGAGGCGCCGGCGGGTGGACCACGACGGGGCCCATGAAATAATAGGGCCTCCGTCTTATCCAGGGCCACCCGCAAACCCAACGCCTCAATGCGCCCGACCACCAGGGAAACTCCCGTGGCGGCCAGGCGTGCCGCCTCCTGGAAGTTAGCCCCCCGGGCCGTGAGCAAGGTGTCATCCGCGTAGCAGATTACACCCAGCCCGGGGGGGAGACGCCCTCGTAGGGCCCAGTCGTACCCGATGTTCCACAGGAGAGGTCCTAGGACAGACCCCTGCGGAACACCGCAGGACATGGCCCTGCGTCTCAAGACGCCATCTCGGTCCTCGTACATGACGGTTCGCTCCTCAAGATAGTCTGCCACCAGCCGCCTCAGGTACTCCGGCACTCCGTGGTAGCGGAGCGCTTCCCTGATGCAGCTGAATGGCAGACTATTGAAGGCGTTGGCGATGTCCAAGGACACCGCCAACACCACTCCGCCGCAGCTCACGGCCTCCTCGGTCACGGCCCTAAGGCGCATTACGGCATCGATCGTCGAACGCCCCTCTCGGAAACCGAATTGGGCGTCCGACAGATCGGGGCCAACCTCGCAAAGGTGCCGGACGATGCGGGCAGAGAGCACCCTCTCGAAAAGTTTGCCCGCCTCGTCCAGCAACACGATAGGCCTATAGGCCAGGGGTAGCGAACCCTATACCAACCCGTCTGGCCAGCGTGGTATAGTAGGCCAAAACCTCCTTTATAAGGAGAGACCTATGTCCAGCAGTGGACTATTAAAGGCTGTTGATGATGTGATGATGTGATCTGAAAACAAAGGAATTTGGTATAAGTCTATCCAATCTGAGCTACGCCGTACACCATGGTTTACAGGATATAATTTTTATAGAGATTTAGTTAAGGTAATATTAAGATTAAGATCAGGACACATTCTATCAAACAAATTTGCATACTTAATGGACAAAATTGATGCTCCAATCTAATGTGTGTGGGGTAGAGAAAGATGTACAACATGTTCTGATGAAAGTCAAGAACCGTAGGGATAGGGTAATTCTCATGTAAGCATTGGAGCCAAACCCATGTGACATAGGAATCCCCCAAATGATTCTGCAACAGAGCTGCTGGGAGCTCCAAAAGCTCTTCAACGCTGTCCTCTTTGAAGGGAGAACTCCGGAAGCGTGGAGTAGGAGTGTGGTCGTCTTGTTCTTCAAAAAGGGTGACAAGACCAGGTAGAAGAACTATCGACCCATATCCCTTCTAAGCCACGTCTACAAGCTGTTTTCGAGAGTCATCACGAACCGTCTTGCGCAAAGACTCGACGAATTCCAACCACCGGAGCAAGCTGGGTTTCGGAGCGGATATGGCACCATAGACCACATCCACACAGTGCGGCAGATTATACAGAAGACCGAAGAATATAATCAGCCCCTGTGTCTAGCATTCGTGGACTATGAGAAAGCCTTTGACTCGATCGAGATCTGGTCTGTTCTGGAGTCCCTGCAGCGTTGCCAAGTAGATTGGCGATACATCCAAGTGATGAGATGTCTCTACGAAGCCGCCACCATGTCCGTCCAAGTACAGAATCAGCAAACAAGGTCCGTACCATTGCATCGAGGAGTGAGACAAGGGGACGTTATATCCCCGAAATTGTTCACAAATGCAATGGAGGACATGTTCAAGACGCTGCACTGGAAAGGGCGTGGCATCAATATCAATGGCGAATACATCTCTCACTTGCGATTTACAGATGACATCGTCATCATGGCAGAGACGTTTCAGGATTCGACCTACAACAAATGCTGAATGACTTAGCTGACACTTCTGTATGCATCGGCCTTTGGATGAACTTGGATAAAACCAAGGACATGTTCAACGAACATGTAATACCGGAACCGATTGCGGTACACGGTGCCGTTCTCGAAGTTGTTCAAAATTATGTGTACCTCGGGCAGACATTGCAGTTAGGTAGAAACAACTTCGAGGACGACGTGAACAGAAGAATTCGGTTGGGTTGGGCAGCGTTTGGGAAGCTACGTTGAGTCTTCTCATCGTCGATCTCACAGTGTCCTACCCGTCATGACATACGGAGCTGAAACGTGGACACTTACGGTACGGCTGGTCCACAAGTTCAAAGTCGCTCAACGTGCTATGGAAAGGGCTATGCTCGGCGTTTCTCTAAGGGATCGCATCAGAAATGAGGTGATCCGGCAGAGAACCAAGGTCACCGACATAGCGTACCGGATCAGCAAGCTGAAATGGCAGTGGGGAAAACGTTGGGGAAAACGAGTTCTTGAGTGGAGACCGCGTCTCGGCAAACGTAGTGTAGGACGCCCACAGGCCAGGTGGAGTGACGATTTGCGCAAGATGGCTGGCAGGATCTGGATGCGAGAAGCCCAAAATCGATCTAAGTGGCGTGCAATGGGAGAGGTCTATGTCCAGCAGTTTACTGCGATAGGCTGATGATGATGATGATGAAATGATTCTGTCTGCACCTGCATCTAATGGAGCAAAGAAACTCTGTCAAATGACTACTGGTATATATAATTATGTTATTAGATGTAAGTTAAAATGGTTACAATGGGGTTGTCATATCCGAAAGGATAAAAACCCCTAAATAATAAAATAAGGAAAAAAAAGTTGTAACCCTAACCTACGTACGAAAAAATCAAATGATAAATCACCGGTCTTTCACAGTTCACTGTGATTTTGTCCATGCCTAATTCAGAGCTAGTGTGAGCGAGTGATACATTTTATCCGCTTGAATGCGGTGAATGATAGGTATATATATATCTTTTAGAATTTTAGATCACTCACTCAGGAACTACACAACTCTAGTTTGTATTAATTTAATTACAATATTGCATTGCTCTACAAAGCCAAAGGTTAAATTCGATAGTAGGAACTTAGAAATAAACAAAAACCAATTGTTAATAAATGCAATTTTTTGACAAAGTTGAACAAAAATAAATAAGTACCATGGAAGATCACGAAAAAGTTTTACAATATTTGATGGCAGCTGAAAAGTTGGCCGAGGAAATTCTGTCAGACAAACGGGAAGTTATAATGCTAGATAAGAGAAGAAATCAAAACCGAGAAGCACTTCGAGATTTAACCAAAACAAACCAACAGAAATGCTGGGTAACTGTGGGATCTGTCTTGATAAAACATAAATTTCAAGATGCAAAGTTGTTATTGGAAGCGGATCAAAAACAATTAAATATAGATATTAATAAATTACGCAGTGATCTTAAAATTAAAGTAAATAATTTACGAGATTTAGAAATGCAGCCACCTGTTCCAGGTTTAATGCTAGTTCCTATGACTACAAAAGAAACAGAAGCTCTATCTAGTTCAAAATTATTGCCTTCGTAGCTCTTTTATAAGTTTTCAGTTTATTAATATGGAACCTGTGACATATTTTCACATCCTGTCTAGTCTAGTAATTTTTTTTTTAAACAAATTGATACAAATATTCTGATCTGTTTGAAGAGTGCAATAGGTATCATCTTTGCTAGACAACTTTTACATATAATTCTTAATGTTGTTCTTGCTGTTGAGCAGTTACTTTTTATTTAATTAATTTATTAAAAGTAATAATTAAATCTGCAACAAATAGCAATGACTTTAATAATGGTTTTGGAATTGCAGTTTGCCTGAGATCATCAACATTTGTGCGGTGAATTGGTCCAATATATGTATTATTTTATTTATTTGAGACAAAATAGAGTTATACATTGCATTCTTTACAAATAATTTAGAATTTACATATCAAAACATACAACCCACATCATTGTCCACAAAGTTATTGCTGAGTTAGTAGAAGGTAATGGATGTGAAGCATGTTTTCTGTAAAAGTCAATAAATTTGTATAGCAAAATTGGTAGTTTATATTTGGAAAAATTGCTGGTCTATGTTATACATGTTTATGACAAGTGCTCCATTCCTAAAGGTATTGAGGGTAGATGCAAGGAGAACCTTCTCTGTGTATGGAAAGTGTTCCTAAAAATGTGTCCAATAAGGGTGGCTCTGCGGTACCCTAGTAAAAATTTGAAAGAAATCAAAGGTAATAAGAATAAGATAGACTAATAAAATCATGTAAATGGTTGAGGTTTTCTATTCTGGCATTTCACTAACGACTCTATATAAATTTTAAAATATTTGAACTCAGCACACTTCTCTGTTTACAACAGCTATGTTCATATTGTAGTTTTTCATATGCAACCTCTATTTTCAGTATACAGCTGGACACTTCAACTTTTCCCCCATGTTACATGGTTCTTTTTGCCTCTACACTCCATACCTACTGTACTTTAATGTTAAATAGCCAACTTATACCTTTGTTAAGACTTTAGTTATGGAAAGAAAAAAAATATAATTTCTAAATTTAACACTAGCTCATAATATATTAATTAATCAATACCCATATGTAAGTTACCCAATGTTGGTGAAATGATGCTGTTTTATTTTTCTGTTCTTGAAAAATACTTATACAGGTGTCCATGAAAATGGGATACTAGCTTTAACACTTAAAGACTTGTCCATATCTTTTATTTGGAATAGTCATAACTTTTAAACGGATAGTTCTTTTTAAAATTGCATGCCAAAGGCAAGTACCATAAATGTTTAAAGCTGGTGTTCCAGTTTCATGGCCAACCTGTACAAGTAATGTTTAACACATTTAGTGTGTTGGGTTTTAACCCAACCAACCAAAGTCTGAGGCTACAGGCATTATGCTACCGCTGCTATGTCACATTAATTGATACTAGCTACTACATAGCAATATTGAAACAGTTACAAACAGAGAACAGTTAAAATGTTTCTCTTGTAGGTTGTACAGTTTTGTTGCCTGGTCTGTAAATATTTGATAACAGAGTTCTACAACACACTAGCAACAAGTACACTAGCACTAGCAAGTCTACAAGTAGGTACACTAACAACTTTTACCACCTGAATAAAAAGTTGTAATCAATTAATTCATTAGCACACAGAAACCTTTTCCAAAGACTATTGTTGAATTCAAAACTTTTATAACCTCTGTGTAGATATCTCATAGAAATAAAAAATAAAAAATGGTTTTTTGTTCCTGTACTTAAGTTTTGAGAGCTCCTTTCAATAGCCGATTGAGGAAAGTATCTTCACTCTATGCATACAAGCCATTACTTCACCATCTCACTACAGTACTACCGTACTGTTTCTTCATTGGTAATTGAAATATATAAGATCTTAAATGGACATTGTGACCTTAAAGTTTGATAAAATACTCATAAAAAATGGCTACTCATCTAAGAGGCCACAATCTTAAGCTTTGTATCAGCTTTTCTAACATCAATCTTCACAAACACTTCTTAAGCAATCGTGTAGTCAAAGCATGGAATAAGCTTCCAGATGATGTTATATCTGCCCAAAATGTGAACGAATTCAAAAATCAACTCTACAGATAGATATGTAATCGAATCTAAGGACAACTAATAGGAATCTCTTGAGGATATAGGCTTTTGTCAGTTTTTCAACTGCCTTCCTGTCTTTATAATAATAATAATAAATAAGAGAGGGAGAAAAGGGAAGTAAAGATAAGGTTGTCCATGCGTCATAACGCCAATCTTAGCATCAGGTGTGTTCAGGGTCCATCTGTCACTAGCAGGCCCTTCGGAGGCAGGAAGGGAACATTTGGGTTACCACACAGGAGGGGTCATCTATAAGTCGTAGATGGCCCGAGGTACTTCGGGGTACCAGGGCTTTCCATTCTAGGGTATACCTGGTTCCCCGGCTACTGGCATCTGTCCAACATAATCATCCATTGGAGGGTTGTATCCGAGGGGTTCCGACAGAAAAAATAAAGGTGTGTTCAGAGTCTCGGTGGGTAACGTATAAATATAGAGGCAAAAATTAAGAGGGCGTATTAACTGTAGTGTTATGTGATATACGGACGGTGACAGAGTAAAAAGTAAATAAAAATTGTAGTCAAAATTAATGTGTGCGTTGCCCCAGCGGAAAAAGTTCCAATTTCATTATTTGAGTTTAACGGATATTTTGTGTATGACGTCGTGTAATTGTGTATGGTAAGTAAAAATTTGTGCATTAAACTATTGAAGAGTTATTCACGAAAAACGGCAAGACGTAGATGCTTACAAGGTATGTATAACGTTATAAATTAGATCCTAGTGCATAAGCATTAAGTACTAGGATCTAATAACCTCTGTTTACGTTTATATTTATTTCTTTTGAACAGTATGTTTTTTTTAAATACGTTTTCACAAACAGTATAAACAAATTCAAAACAACGTATGAAAAAATCTACACCTCTAGAAAAGCGTTTTATATGAAATTTAGCAAATGGCCAAACGTTGTCGCAGCGGAAACTTGAATATCTTCGAGTTTATTGACGCACAAATTCAAACATACACAATTACCTCACGTCATACACTTATTTTTGATACCGTTTTATTTCTTCTACATCCAAAGGATAAAAAAAATGCCGAAGCGGAAATAGTTTTTCGTGCATAACTCCCCAATGGTTGGATGAACTAAATTTTACTTACCATACACAATTACACGACGTCATACACTAAATATTTGTTAAACTCAAATAATGAAATTCGAACTTTTTCCGCTGGGCAATGCACATGCCGCTGAGACAACGCTGTCCCAGCGTAAACAGTTTTTGGTGAATAACTGCAATGGTTGGATGCACAAAGTTTTAATAACCATACACTCAAAATCAACTCAAATAATGAAATTCGAACTTTTTCCGCTGGGGCAACGCACACGTTAATTTTGACTACAATTTTTATTTACTTTTTACTCTGTCACCGTCCGTGTAAATACATAACACTGTGTGCGTTACCCCAGCAAAATAATGTCGAAAATGGTCATTTAAACTTTATAGATAATTAGTTGCTCTCCTTCTGTAATTGTTAGGCACATTTTTAAATTTGTTTCACTTAAACTTTTTTAGTTATTTCAAAAAAACATTTCCTGCTGGAGTAACGTTTGAAACATTACCGCAGCCAGACATTTTCTTTTTTAATTGTAATATTGAAATAAATTTTAGCTAGATAATTAGTTATCTGGACTAGGTAAATGTTACAACTTATTTGGTATTTGTATTTTCTTCGGCTGCGAAGTTATTCAAAATCCTGCTGGAGTAACGTTTGTGGGTTTGCTGGATCTCTAAAACGGGTAAGCGGATTGTAACCATCTTTTGTACATAACTTCTTAAGGGTTAGTTTTAATTTGTTCGACAATAAAATAACAAAAATAATGGACCGTTTAAAAATTATTTAGGTAAGTATGAAAACACTTCAATACGTCCTAACACTTTAAATAAGACCTCTAAATACTTACTTCAAACGTTATTCTATTGCTTGTAACTACCTTCAAATGTATACGAATTTTCGTAAGAATACTGTTAGTGACTAAAAAGTTATGATGAAATGTAGCTCTCCACGTTCACGATCACAATGTGTGCGGCCTTTTTTGGCCACCGATAAACCTGTGTGTGGATATATAAACTGAATGTTATGCCAATAATTAGTTGTTTAGTTCAGTTGTCTACCTGTAGAATTTCAGCGTCGTACATATAATAATTTACGAGATAATTAAATAAAAGTCATTAGAAGGTGCAAGTCCGTGGTAATCCGACCATGTTTAGGTGGTTACAAAAAAGCGATCACCCAGTACATTGTGCTGGCTTTTAAAATATGTAGGATATTATTTGTAAGTTTACTACGGATATGTACATAAGTGTTACAAAAAACTACATGTTTTTTAAATAATTTTTATTTAGGATTGTTTATTGCATATAATTAGTAATCAGCCGGGAGATTAGGTATTGTTTTGAATGCTTTTGTTTTCTCGTAATGTTTAGGTGAATTGTTTATAGTTGTTCATAGAATTGGTACTTGCGTAGTATTTGTTATTTGAAGTTTAATTTTAGGGTAGGTATAGGTAATTTAAGTTTTGAAGAGTGTAACGTATGCGTTGTAAATAGGTATTTTGTGAATAGATGGGGATTTTTTTAAGTGATGAATCGACTTAGGCTAGCATATCGTGAACAAACTCTGTATTGCAATATTTCTGTAATAATGTTGGAGAAAATAAAATATTTGATCACAAAATCGCGGTGAGTTAAATTATAATAAAATAAATTATTTATGTAAAATTAGTAATAAGTGATATACCTACCTACAAGTTATGATCGTTTTTAATTTGTTCACCCTGAACAAAATTTCAATATTAGCATTAGTAATTAATATCCTAAGACAAGAATTGACAATTACATAAATTGAATCGAATTAGCATTAATGCCCATTATTAGTAATTAGGTACACACATATTGAAGAACTCTCAAGAATACGATAAATATTTGCAAAAATAGAAAGCGGAAGCGCACACGTACTTTACAACACGTATATTATCTGCCTAAGGGTCAAGTTTAGTGCACTAGATGCAAATTGCAAACAATAAAGTATCCCTTCGCCCCTCCCCTCCCGCGTTCTAGCGAAGGATGTATTATCAGCGATTCTTGATTGACAAATATTATCTGACCAATAATTTTATCTATAAAAATGTATCACTTTCACTCGATAAATTAAATTACCGTTATTATATCAAAATATCATTCAACAACTGTTCGTTTTTAACAGAAATCAACAGTCACGGGCTCAACGCTTAACGGTAGGTACATAGGTATAGATAATTCTCGGTTCTCGGTATAGACCACAGAACAATATTACCTACTCTTACGAGGTATACGACTGTTGGGCGATGCAATGTTGATGCATTCTAATTTACAACTGTATTCTTCTACTATTCGGTCTATTTTAACTTATTGTAGATGACTTGTTGCTTTAAATATTTTGATGCATTCAAGTCTAAGCTCTATACACCCCAAAATAAAATACAATTACTTTAGTGTTATTTCTTTACAAAAAAAAATCAAAGAAATGAAACGATTTCTTATTGGTTTAAATTTTCGATTTATTGCAGTCAGGTGAATCGTTCATACATGTATCTACATATTTATAATTTTAGCGGACCAGTGCAGATTTTCTGTTGATTGTAGCTCCGGTAGTAAAAAAGACTAAAGAAATTTTAAGTAAAGAAACTAGTGCTTAAGATCAATTAGGGTAAAAACAAAATAAATAATAGGTAATAATAATGAATAAATATTGAATGTATTTAACACTGTACGCAACTGTACCGAAATCGTAAGGTGTATTACACTAAACATTTTAAAAGACAGCGCAATGTACTGGGTGATCGCTTTTTTGTAACAACCTAAACATGGTCGGATTACCACGGACTTGCACCTTCTAATGACTTTTATTTAATTATCTCGTAAATTATTATATGTACGACGCTGAAATTCTACAGGTAGACAACTGAACTAAACAACTAATTATTAGCATAACATTCAGTTTATATATCCACACACAGGTTTATCGGTGGCCAAAAAAGGCCGCACACATTGTGATCGTGAACGTGGAGAGCTACATTTCATCATAACTTTTTAGTCACTTACAGTATTCTTACGAAAATTCGTATACATTTGAAGGTAGTTACAAGCAATAGAATAACGTTTGAAGTAAGTATTTAGAGGTCTTATTTAAAGTGTTAGGACGTATTGAAGTGTTTTCATACTTACCTAAATAATTTTTAAACGGTCCATTATTTTTATTATTTTATTGTCGAACAAATTAAAACTAATCCTTAAGAAGTTATGTACAAAAGATGGTTACAATCCGCTTACCCGTTTCAGAGATCCAGCAAACCCACAAACGTTACTCCAGCAGGAATTCGAATAACTTCGCAGCCGAAGAAAATACAAATACCAAATAAGTTGTAACATTTACCTAGTCCAGATAACTAATTATCTAGCTAAAATTTATTTAAATATTACAATTAAAAAAGAAAATGTCTGGCTGCGGTAACGTTTCAAACGTTACCCCAGCAGGAAATGTTTTTTTGAAATAACTAAAAAAGTTTAAGTGAAACAAATTTAAAAATGTGCCTAACAATTACAGAAGGGGAGCAACTAATTATCTATAACGTTTAAATGACAATTTTCGACATTATTTTGCTGGGGTAACGCACACCATAACACTACAGTTAATACGCCCTCTTAATTTATACGTTACCTACCGAGACTCTGAAAACACCTTTATTTTTTCTGTCGAGTCTGTCCGAGTGCGGCTGAATTATATTTTAGTTTCTCGCTATTTCATGAGTATGAGTTCTTAACGATAATAATGTTTCCAACTCAGGATTTAACTCCGTGGCGGTGCCTTCCTCCAAATCAGTGAAAGCTGAAGAAGCAGAGTAGTCATCAATATTTAATAAAACGTAAAATGTATTTAAAAAATTTATTGGGCTAAGGTACTTCAAATAAAAAGTCTTCAAATATATATTTTCAATATGCACAGTTATATCTTTATACATGTAAATAATATAGTACATAACAAATAAATAATAAATATGTATTACGAAATTTTAAGAATTTATTCCCTAATAAAAATGTAGTTTGGTGTGATAATTATGGTACAAAGTGACTTGACTAAATGCCAATTTAAATTGAATGAACCTTACAATATAATTGAAGAATAATTTTACATTACTTCTAATTGTTTGGTTGAAGATTTGTCAATAATAAGTATCTATCTGTCTGACATGGCATTTTTCTTTGTTAATATCATAAAAATAATTGTGTAACCAATTAATAATAATCATCACCAACTAGCTTAACATTATAAACAATATGGCATATATGAATTAATAGTTGATTTCAATTACATTTTCTTTTAGAAATTATCAAATTGCAACATAATATAAAACCTAAGCACATTAACTTACTTACGCATAATTGTCAATATCAAAACATTTATCCTAGAGGTTATTGCTTAATAATATATATTCCTTAATAGCTTGTAATAAATTGAAATTATCTTTATCAGTACAAAATGCCACATTTACTAAGAAGATCCTTGAATACTTGAAAGTATAACATTTTGTGGATTGTCTTTTGAGCACATATACTAATTCTGTCACTATCACAAGTCTTTGAATTTCGAGTGGCCAAAGCACATGATTTTGTATTGACTATTCTACTGGCATTATCTTGTACAGTGCGGGCATGCACTGAATAGGGACGCCGTTCGTGTTACAATCACAGATCAGCAGCGTGCTCTACGCCAGCCGCACCCTGACACTACCAGTTGGCCATGCCGGGTTTATTGAGCGTCATAAAATATATCTGACAAGAGGAACCACCTTTGGCAGAAGAAAAGAATACTTTGTCATTGCGTTCACATAAGAATTTGAGTCGCTGTGCTTTCTTGTGCATAAATACGCCATCTAGGTGACCAGTCTCTACTGAACGAATTTCGATGGCTTTATTACCCCATCCCATAATCTGTCCAGTACCTATGTAGGCTACCGATGTTGGCATTTCACCCCACTGAAATTAAGAAGTAAGTGTTACACTAACATTTTACTTTGAGATGTATTAAAATATATTTGTAGTTATTAGTTGCCAACCTGTAGAACTATGTTCTTGCTAACTCTCCCGTAAGTATTGACATAGACACCTTCATTATCATAGCACAACAATAACTGAACTCCATTAGAATTTGGTAGAGGGACAATGCAGTGTGGAACGATTGCGCCTTGTGTCTGTAAATTGTTAACATACAGTAAATTACAAATATTGATAAATATTTTATGAATTATATGAAGGCTGTGAGTCCAGCAGCACTAGCACTAGCAGTTAATATCTTTGTTTATTTTTGGTATTGTGCATGCTGTTTTAACACAGATGAATAGAAAAACCATTAATTTCAAAGCATAAATGAATGTCTTATATTTTATGGAGCTACTAATTAGCATCAGGACTCATTCTTAAAAAATAATAATTAGATACATTAGTTTGCATATTTATATGAGAAAAAATAATAAAACGTTGATTCCACTTACATTACTACTTACATGCTTTGGAATATAAATATCATAGACAGTTGCAGTGTCTAAATCAACAGCATGGAAACCATCAGCAGATCCATATATTACTTTCAGTCTTGTGCTGTCTTCTATGGTCAAATCCACTAAAAGAGGTCTGAAAGTGAAATTTTAAATTGTGATGTCAACAATGTAATTTGTTAACGTTGTGCGTAGTGGATATGAAGAAGTCCTTTTTTTATGATATGGGGGACAAATGAGAAGACGAGTCACCAGATGGAATGTGACTACTGGCCCATGAGCGCCTGTAACTCAGGAGTCACAAGCGCGTTTCCGATCGTTGAGGTAGAGTACGTTCTTTTCTTAAAGGTTTTTGTTATTTGTTTTATCCCAGGTATTGCAGATATTTATAGTAAAAAGTGTTTCTACATTTGTTTTATCAGAACTTCCAGGATATTACATACTAAAATAAATGGTCCGCCGAATGCCTGCCTCAGAATGGGAAAAAATGGGTATACTTGTTTCATGTCCCTACGATCATTACAATGAGGCTCAAAAAGGAAGTGAAAATTTTGCTCAAATATTTTTAAGCTTTATTTGGTTACAACAATTGACCAGGGGAGTGTGTGAATATTCGTGGCATGTTCCCCAAAATTGCAATCGGAAGAAAATAGAAGGTAATAAATTCATGTCCTTTCATTTTACCTGTGTTGCAGATCTCCAAAGTTTTTGAAGGCCATAAATTTATGATATGGTTTAGGCGCCCATGCATAAATTTCGATCGAGTCTTTCAGAGCGATTACAAGAAACTTGATCCTTTCATACTTTACGATACGGAAATGTACCGCTCCTTGTAATTCTCCAACGTTTATCCACCCATTTCTCCTCTCGGCTTGCTATTAATGTAAATGTAATATAAATAAAAGTATAACGAATTTTATGAATGAATTAACAGGAAAAGTAATAAACAATAAATTTAATTAGATGATTTATACTTACATCACTAAGTCCATCAGTCCGCAATATTTTGGACTTGAGCCAGCTAAGGTAGTAAACACGCACACGATTCTTTTTCCCCGAAACAGTTACAAGTATGTTTTGTCCTTCTAACACTTCCATCTGTTGGAAGCGGCGTCGCGAGATCAATTGATAAACTTTACCTTGGCCTGAACGATCTAGCAACATTAAACCATTTTCGGTGCCGATAAGTAAATTGACTCCTGGAAAAAAAATAGTTTAGGAAATATGCAATTTGTAACGAAATTTTATTTTTTTTATTCTGTTCAGATTTACCCCATAATGCTGCACAGAGGATTTCAGAGTTGAATCTTTTCTTGTATTTACGTATTTCGGGCGTATCGGAAGATAGATCGTGTCCCGTGGGTGTGACATTGACGTTGACGTGGCTCTCTCGCCGGGAAGCATTACCACCAGAACCTGCTGTGCCGCCGCTGCCAGTGGAACCAGCACCAAATCCGAACGTCAGGAATGAACGCTGCTTCTGTTGAAGGAACTGTTGTTGGGACCCCACGGACGAGTTTGAAGGAGAATGCTGTAATGGGTGGGGGGAGGAGACGCCCGAGATGAAAGACTTGGACGGTGTGGATTGGACCGAGGATGACGGTGGGTGGTGGTGATGATGGGACAAAGGGGTGCCTCCGGCAATGGCTTGCCTGTACTGGAACAGAAAATTTTTAAAGTGTTTTACTTGTAAAAACAAAACTATTTCATTATTATCTTCCTACAGCAAGTTTAGCCCATCATCAACCTTTTGCATTAATGTATGATTTGTTAGTCAAATAAGTCCATTTCCCATAGATTAGTTGTCATCTCAAATATAGTTGGAAAGTTATTAGCTTGATGGCTATTATCAACATTTATGACTGTAACATAAAATGTAATGCTATGTGAAATGTCAGCAGGCATGAACTTGCTGTGAGCGCATGTCAATAGGTTATATAATGCTTTATTTGACTTAAAGGAATACCACTGTGAATCTATACATTTATATTCAGGATTGAATAAGAGAACGCTGTGGTCAAAATGCCAGATGAAAGGTGTATTTAATATTAAACAGTTAGTGACCACTTTACAATAGACAATACTAAAATTAACTTCAAGAGTTGAGCTGATGATAGCAACAATTAAACCCTCGTAAGACCCTTGTTCTAATTACAACTGTTATTAAGCTGCCCTATAATATTGAAGTAATTAAAAGCTTGGATAATATCGATCTGCATTCAATGATCAATAAAACATTTCGGTATAAAATGAAAGCGTTTCTAGAAAATGCATAAATACAAAGAAGAAGTGAGGTACAGTTCTAACTCTCAACAAACAACAATCTATGAGAACCTTCAAGCATTTCCTCTTGCATCAATTCGTTTCGTACTTACGCAGTGGTAACAGGTGTGTGCAAACCGGTCGCGCAGTGGCTCCAGGATGTTTGCATGATTGACAACCATTATCACATTAATACGATAAACCAAAAGCTTTAGACACCACACAGTCATAAGCTCAACAGGAGCTTCCAACCTTAAGCTTTATTGTTACTTCTGATATTGATTGAAAGTAAATTGCAATAATTTTAATCGACACTATATTGTTGTTGGTTTATCAGAATCTTTTGTAATAATTGTTTTATACTTATGGCAAATAAAAATGCATTACTACATATTGGCATAGAAGCTACAATATATGAAGCAGCGCTCGAGTTGGAAGCACCTGAGTTACTTTTTATTATGAACACATCATGGCATGTTGCTAAAAATCCCCTTTTAAGTTAACCCCTATAAATTAAAGCATGAGTAGGGTGAAAATGTCACTCACAAATTAATTATCAGATAATAAAAAATCAATAATTTATATTTAATGAGACTACCCACCAGTGTCATTAAAAAGCAAACCGGGGCTACTAGTATAAAATTTATTGGGAAATACGATTATGCGTAATTCCTTCAAGATCAAATTTAATAATTGTAACCAATCATTATCTTAATAATATTATGGTAAGATTAGGCATAAGTTAAGATCGCATTGGTTCTCGAACTTACCTCTTCACTCGTTGATTTATCGTGTCGCGGCGGAGTGGTTGGTTGGCCAGCCTGGCTCAACAAGTCGGGCAGTACGGAACTAGTCCGAGACCCACTGCCTTCATTAGCACCGCTCGATCGACCCTATACGTAATTAAACATTATGTTATGGTTCATTAGCATTTCTTTCTTAGTATGCCTATTCTTTAATAGTAGCTGATAACGTTACGTAAAACATGTTTAATTACATAAAAACATGTATTTAATGTTTATTTAACCACAAAAATATTTTATGTATCAATGTATTTAAGAAAAAATATTTTTTCTAAACCTGTGTTATTGTTTTCTTATTTAGGAGTGAGACAAACGTTTGTAAAATTATAGCAATATTAATAATTATTTCAACATTAAAAGAGCTTGACATACACGGCAGCCAAAACATGCAGTAGTAAAACACATTCACAAATTGATGATTGTTTCTTGCCAGCTTCTGTGACATTTCGTTAGACAGCATTCCTAATATGGTTAAATTTCAAATGTTGATGGCATAAGTAGATATCGTGAATATAATTTGCATTTGTTGATTTCTTGGCAGGAAGACGGTATTCGCGTACAGATCGTTATTTTTAAGGAATTCAGTTAGTTTACGTTAATGAGTTGCAGTGTATTGTTAGGTGATAAAGCTGTTAACAGATTATGATAGATTCCTCTACTTTGTTAATTGTACTACCTTAGTACTTTCTGCCTTCCCAATACATGTACCACACTAAAGTATTTCTATACACTAGAAGATATATAATCACGCCAAAATGTAAGACGTGTGAGCAATGTCTAAAACCAATGTATCTTAGAATATATAAATACGAAGTATGTAATTTTAGTATTAAGTATAAACGCAACAGGAGCACGAAAACAATTCCCATACATTTACCAAATTAATTGTTAAAATAACCAAAACCACTACATACTAAATACAAAACATACCAACTTTATAAAAGCTTCCATATGGATTTAAATGTTAGTGAAAACCATGTTAGACAACCAAACCCTCATTCCATTATGTAAGTAAAATATTAATCAAACTATCCGGAGCTGGGAGCAAATTACCTTTTCCTGAACGAGTACCGCTTCCTGCCCACAACTTGTCAATAGCTCTGTATGCCGATTATATTGGGAATTTCTCCGAAAAATTATATCAGATTCAGTCTTTTCTCTTCGCGGTTTCATGACCTTATTAGATTCAACTATTTCATCCGAGCTTAGTTGATTTTCAAAAGTATTCGCTGTTAAGTCAGGAGTGCCAGCTTTCTCAAAAGATGTGCTGCTTGTGAAGCAAATGCTTGTAGCGGGCGAGTCGCTGTTTACACTGCTTTGTCGACTTGGCCCATTGCTATCACTGTCCTGCCTAATTAAGGCGGCGACATTCTTTAAGGCCTCTATTGGATTATTAGCTGCAAGTTTATTGTCGAAACATTTTTTTTCGCCTTTTCTTGCATCTGCTTGGGCCCTCATTTTCAAACTGTCATTGGTTTTAATAAAGTCTGTTAATATTGGTTCTCCGGATGATAGCTTAATAACTTGCTTACGTGAATTGTTGAAAATTCCGCTAGATCGTAACTGTTTATTTACTCCTATTACTGGACTTTCATGCTTTGGAAAGTATATAGCAGAGTGTCGAGTACTTGGCAGTGGGAAAAGATCGGAATTTTCTCTTCTGAAACCTCTGAAGAAACGATTCGGCGAATTTGATTCTGTATCCGGTTCCGGCTTTTTGTTGTACTTCAGAATATCTGATAACTTATCCTGTGTTGATTTTTCATTCGTTTTTTGAAACATTTGTTTATGTCTTGAGGGTGGAGTAGCAACGGCTTTATACTTCGACCACGCATCTTCCATTTCTAAGCGAGACTGACGTTGTAACTGTGCGCGTTTCGGATCATTATTTTTTGTTGAATCCTTTTTCTCTTCTTTGGACTCGGTATTCTTCGGAGGGAAAAAGCGGGCAAAGTCCCAGTCCTTCAGTAAGACTGCCTCATCCACGTCAGATTGCCTCTTATCGCTTTCGGTATTTTCTTTCTGATGTTTGTCAAACATGCCCGATACAAAAAGTACATATAAATAATAGGAATACAACATGAAAAATAAGAGCTAGCACCTATGCTCACCAATCTTATTTTGGCGTGAAAAACCAAACTATTAGACCCTCTCAAAAATAAAAACATTTCTTTAGGGCACCATTCGTTGAGCCGTTGATACGATAAGCCACACATATTAGCACGCATTAATGCCACACATGTTATCCTATACAACAAAACAGCTGCTATATTCTTCTTAAATATAATGGACCATATGTAGTTGTTTTGTTGTAATGGGTAACAACTCCGAAAAATATGCGGTGTCAGTTTTTTATAAATTTAGCATGTAATTAGCTTAGAAACATTGGCGATGGTTTGCTCCTGTAACATGGCATTTAAAATCTTCAATGTGGTGAGGATGGTATTCATTTTTACCAAATGAAATAGTGTTAGCACAGTTAAAGACATGACAGTTGTGTCGATGTGTGAGATTTTTTTACGATTATATATGAAATTTATTTTAACGCGCTCATTGCACGTGGGGATCGTTTTAGGTTTATGACATGATACATTATATATCTATATTTTATATAGTAAACGCAGTCCGCGTTTATCGATATGTTTGCTGGTTCACAGGAGAACGACGATCAGTCACACATTAGATGAATGTAATATGAAAATAGTGTGTTCAGGCTTATTTGTGTATAGGGATAGATTGGGATGTAATCGTGAAAGCTTACCCTCTTCACGAGCGTGCGGTCGCCGTGCGTGTCGTCGTCGTCGGGCGTGGGAGGCAGCGGGCGAGTGGGCGCGCCGCCTGCGTTTCCGCCGCCGCTGCCGTCCTCCGACACCGCGCTCAGTCCCGGCCTGTAGCAGAACTCGGGACTGACAAGCCAAATCGAAACGAACGGGACGGGAGGGTCAAATGAACAATGGGATGAACGAAAAATAAAAATGTGTTAGCAAATAAAAAAGAAGATTACAGCCGTGATTAGTAGTTTTGTTATTATATGAATAATAAATATGATGTGTAAGTATTTAATGAAGTGGATTAACACAATTTTTATCGAGTTAACTGATAACGTTTTTAGAATTACTACTCACTTAAGTGTAGTAATTCTTACAATAACACTAAAAATTATAACATTTTTGTCAGACACAGTCATGACTTTCTTGATGACAAAAAAGACATTTCTCAATTACACTTTTTTTTGTGAAATGTTGTGTACTACCGCCGTAAACCCCTCCAGCTAAGCTTAAATGGCTGTGTTAGGCACTCCTTTTTTTTTTTTTTTTTATTAACGTGTGGACATGACAACGTTTGCGGAGGGGTGGTGTGTCGTACTCGGACCGAATAAAACCACACGGTGCGCCACTCTGCGCCTGTAACAGGAGGGATCCGGGAACAGCTGTTATTAAGACATCCGGACCCCTCCTAGCGCCAGCCCGCTCCTGGTGCGGGCTCCGTCTCAAAATTTTCCTCTCTTTAGGCGACGTCCGGCACACGCGGACGCCGCCCCATCGCGGCTGGCCAAGCTAATGCGGGTGGAGGGGAAACCCACCCCGTCCACCCGCGGCCACACTCAGGGCGGCATGAGGCGGTGATAGGCGCGCCTCATGCCGGCGGGTCCGAGTGGAGGTCGGGCCTTCTCCGCCGCTTCCTTCTGCGAGATTACTTCCTCGCAGAAGGTTGCGACCGCGGTAAAACAACTGTCGCTACCGGCCATGGAGCGTACTACGGCCGGTAGCGAGAGATCCACTCCGATGAGTGCAGTGAGGGCCCGGCGCTGCGTCGCCTATGCGGGGCAGACCGCCAGCGTGTGCTGGGCCGAGTCCTCACTGCAGTCGCAGTGGTGGCAGGCGGGACTCAGTTCCCTCCTAGCGACCGAGTGCAGGTACTTTCCGAAGCAACCGTGCCCGGAAAGCACCTGCGTCAGCCGGAAGGTAAGGGTCCCGTGCTGCCGCCCTGCCCACTCGGCGATGACCGGCTGGAGAGCCTCCACGGCGGCGAAGCCAGCGCGTGGAGTCTCCAGCCGGAACGACCTACGAACCATCGTGGCTCGGCGAGCGGCTTCGCGCCACTCGCGCACATTCTCGGGCGGAGGGCGAAATCCGCTCTCCGCCCGGGAGTCAGCCACTCGCCGATAAACTTCGGCGAGCACTTCCGCCTCCAAATCCCACGGGGGAGTTCCGGCCAACGCGCACGCCACCTCCGTCGAAACGGTGCGGTAACCGCGTATGGCTCTGACCGCCATTACCCTCTGAGTGCGCCAGAGGCGTGCCCTATTCTGGGCGGTCAGAGCCGCTGCCCACACCGGTGCACCGTATAGTGCCATTGAACTGACAACCCCCGTGTACAGCCGTCTTGTCGCGACGCTGGGTCCACCCAAATTGGGCAAAAGTCGCCCTAGGGCAGACGCAGCGCCGACCAGCTTTGGAGCAAGCTGTCGGGTGTTAGGCACTCCTAACACAACCATTTAAGCATAGCTGGTAAGCTTAACAAGAATACTAGTAACGAACCATGTTACTACTATTCTATGAAAAAGTACAAGGTTTCACTTATTCATCGCTGAATGTTTATCGGATATTTTCGTGTGGTTGGGTAATAAGACTGACAAATGCACCAAGATTAGTAAAAGTATACTATAATCAGCACTTACAGTGGCTTTGGTGGATCACTCGCCAGCAAAGTACCGTCGTTTCGAACTCGCCCACCGCTTTCCTCAGCGTCGGAATCGGTATCGGAATCATCAAATGCTGGTTCTGGAGGGTTACGCTCTACTGGTGGACCTAAATTATATTAAAAAATGAGGTTACAGTTTAATAAGTCAAAGTCTATTATTGTTTATACATCAAAGTTTAGATGTCAGAGGTTGTGAGAAAGAAAATGTTAAAGAAAGGAACAGAAAGGCGAAAAATTTGTAAAATGAAAGTTTTGTGAAATAAACAATAAAAACTGTTAAGATTTGCAAGAGTAAGCAGTTGACGATTAATATAATTATTATAATGTTTATATCCATACCTTGTCCATTAGTGGGAGCACGAGGTGGTCGATTAGGAGGCTCGTTACCAGAAACAACGCCAAGTTCATTAAGTTGTGCAGCTAACTTGTCTAAGTCCTGATAAATATAAAAAGTAGGTTAAAAAACAATACAATAAACTATGTTCTTCCTTACTACAAGTAAACTATAACTAAATGCAACAAAAACAGCCTACCTCTGGCCTTCTTGGTGGAAGCTGCAGTTGTAGTTTAAATCGGATGTGCAAACAAAGTTAACAAAGTTAACAGCGTTACATGAAAATAAAAACAAAAAGCCAATAAAATAAAAGTTATAAAACACTTATAATTATTAAGCAGATACGATTTTTATTGATTTTAAATAATTTTAAAAACTTTAATAAGCAATGCACACACGCCTGAATCGAAACTAAATTTCTTTGTGGTTTTGTCTTTGTAACCAAGTTTCAACCAATATTATGCATTACCACTGTATAGGCTTCGTTTGTTTTCTATGTTGTTCAGTGATTTAAATGAACTGTGGTTTATTCGAATAGTATAGGTATATTGATCTACTTATTTTTATATTTTTGAAATTGTATTGTGTAGGGTTAAAAAAAAATTTTTTTGTTAATTTAGATAAGAATTAACACTGAAATAACGGATGATAGAGTAGAATGGAAGAATAAGACATACTGTGCCAGCCCCAAATTATGGTGGGATGAAAAAAAGTTACATGATGAAGAAGTTATGATGAGAGTTATGTAGTCTTTGCAATGCCTCAAATTTTTTTTGCCATAGCAGACTAAAGGAGGAACATGTAGGTGGACATGGAAAAACTTAGAAGGGTTCTTTGTAAGGCGTCTCAAAAACTGGAATCACCGAAAATTAAAATATTAATTGCAACATAAAATTACAAAAAATAAAATTTAAACAAAAAACATTTTTTTTGGCAAAACTGATTTTTAACAATATTGATATAATTTTGCAGGATATTACTTATGAAATAATTTGCCATACCATGGGTTTGAAAATGTGATGTGAGCCGCGTTGAGGAGGCTGTGGACCGCTGGCGGGAGGAGTGCCATTGTTAGAGCCTGAACTGTTTGACGAGCCCGACGACTTTGGAGTTGGCGGTAGAGGTCTGTAACAATTTGTACATGCACGTTTACTACTATTATTTTGTAACTTGGTGTAACTTAAATCCAGTTGAATTAAATTCTTATGTAATGTGTTGTGACAGCAACAAAAATTTTAAACAGACAGATGTGACAGATATTTTTATAAGGTCTGGTAAGAAGTTTTCTGGTATATTACATTTTATGGCCTTTTTCTTAGCACAAATCTAGATATTTAAAATTAATTTTATATTTTTTACACTTGGCAATTCGCAAATAGTAGTAACCTTGTTTCATTTTCGTAAGTTTAGCGTGCAAGATAACTTTAAATATGTTCATAAAATACATTTTCGTATAATACAATAAAAAAGAAACATGTAAAAAAGTATGATAATAAGCTGAGATAATTATATTTACCTATATCTATTAGGCTGTTGCGCCTGGGGGTCTGGTACAACTATCAGTCTTTGTGGAATAGAAGGCCTCGCAGGAGGGCCTGGTTCTACATTAACAACAAAAAGACAATAGGTTAATAAATTTTACATGTATTAGATAAAACACATCATAGGGTTAGGTTGTTAAGTTACCTGGAATTTCCTCACGTTCTTCGCGTTTACTGTTCCGCTTCGGCGGAGGCTGCGGTTGAGGAGCTTCAGCTTGTCTGTTTAATACACAAATAGTAGTTACAGAGAATATAACAAGCTATTTAATATTGCTAAGTTATAGTGACAAACCTGGCTCCTGGTTCTTGAATTTGTTGGAAGTTACGACGAAGAGTATCACCGCCTTGATGCGCGGCCGCATTATGCACAATAGATGAAGGCTCCCCAGCCACTGCATTATCATCTTCTTCTCCTTCTGATCCTGAGTACTTGTAGTCTTCTCGTACTGAGTTGTCTTGCTTCCGCTTCTTACATCTGTCTATATGATCTTTTAGTTGTATTCTTACTTGCCTCTCTGTTGGTTGATCTCTATAAAAACGATTTTAATTTTTTATTATACATTATGTATGTTTACACTGCTTTAATAAATTTACATTACTATGAGTTTATTACCTAATAAATCCATGCCTTAGAAGTTGTTCTGTATAAGGCCTCTGGTGGTAGTCTTTTACTAACACAGTCTCAATGAAGCTATGAAATTTTTTTGCCCATTTTTTTGACTTCAAACGAGGTGGAGGATTCCTAAAATATGTTTTTTTTTATTATTATTATTAAAGATACAAATACTATAATATTTGATTAGATAACCATACCTTGGAATAAGAAATAGTGCTCGCATTGGGTGGAGATCACAAAGGGGTGGTTGACTTTCAGCCATCTCGAGTGCCGTGATGCCAAGAGACCAAAGATCGGATCTGTTATCATATGTAGCATCAGGGTTCTCATCACAAGCAATTACTTCTGGAGCCATCCAATATGGCGTACCAATGAATGTGTTTCTTCTACCTATAGTTCTATCCAGTTGGGCTGACACTCCAAAATCCACTGATGATGCAAAAATATTTTTTATTATTGATACTTATTTTCATTACATTTCAATAGCATGTTTAGAATATTCAAAACAACTGCTTAAAGAACACTTTTTCACCCAACTTATATACATTAAAGAAAGGCCAAATATTTGTGAAATGAATACTAAATAATAATAATATTTAATATGCAGTATTTTCCTTTAATACAAACCAAGTTTAACTTCAGCATTGTCTGTAAGTAAGACATTTTGTCCTTTGATGTCACGATGGATCACTTTGTTTGAGTGTAGATAACTGAGCCCTCTCAAGATTTCTCTACAAATGTATGAAATCCATTCTTCTTTTAAGGATTGTCCTTTAGTTGATTTAACTAAGTCTGTCACAGATCCTGAAATTTGACAGTTTCACATTGTCATGTAAACAACTTTATATGTATTTTATTCTCATTCATATAATATTAAACACATTATTCTATATTTTGATATGAGTAAGTGTATACAAAATACACTACCTCTTACTAAAAGTAAGTTTATAATTTCATAATTTTAACTTTGTTTCAAAGTTTTAACCATCAGTAAGTCCAAACCCATGAGGTTAGTCAATTATTAGTTTAATATAGAAATTACATAGTGATACAAAAATAACCAACCTGCACCACAATATTCCATAACCAGCCATAGCTGATCATCTTTTCCAGGAGGACTCTTTTTGATAAATGCACCATAGTATGTGGCTATGTTTCGATGGTTAGAGTACTTTTTAAGCACATTTATCTCTAACTTTATCTCTTCCTCCTCATCTTGTGTGACATCCATAACTTTGATGGCTGCCAGTTGACCTGTTTTAGTGTGACGCCCCTAGAATGTTATCGATAACCACTTTTATAGCATGTTTATTTATTTACTATTGTAATTTTACATTGATAATGCCATATTAAATATATATATTCTATGAATATTGTGTGCAGATATGTAACAGTGACATGCTAGATATCAGGTAGCAAAATCTGTTACTTTTTGGTGGATCTTATGTGAATCTTTTACATTATGGACAAGAATTACTAGACATAATTGAATAATTACATATACACAGTCCAGTGGTTTCCCTTACCATAATGTACCTTACTTCCTTTGTCCTACATGAAAACAGTTGAAAACAATCAACAATCATCAAACATAAAAGAAACCAGTCAAAACTCTTTGCCATGTTACACATTGTATCAACCCTAAATAAAATCGGGTAAAGAGCAGGAAAACTAGTAATAAATATATATATTAAAGGTGTCATATTTCTACCTCTATGTAGTTCTAAGTAGTTCTAACTATAAAAATGACCAATTTCAGTATGCTATATGCATGCACTATATTTGTGTTCTACCTATTGAAAGTACATTAAATTAGGTCAATAATTTTTTTTGGTAATAAGTTCTGAAGGTATTGAATTTCACTTTCCTGCATGGGTTGACAAACCAAAAAAATTAGTATATGTATAAGAAATATTAGGTTTGCTGTATCCATGTTATACTTTTTTTAAAGTTTTTAATAAAATATCAGCACTGCATGTGAACTATGCACATTACAGTATTTTTAACAAGTTTTTTTTTTTTAACTATGTGAGTTGACTAATTTTGAAGATTATTGCCTATACTGCCTGACTTGTTTTGTTAAGAGGTTTTTTTAAATATCATAATAGTTTGTAAGGCGAAAAAAAAGAATGGCCGTGATATTAAAAGTCCACTGATAGGAGTGAAGTTCATTGACACTAATAGACTGTACTCTTTAATTGTAATGCTTTCATTGAAGCCTATTACGTTAATTTTTAGTAACGCCACTTCGTGCACTACACTGTGTATTTAGAGCGTGAGGATTGAAACATTATAAGAAGTGAATATAACTACCTTCACAAGTTTAATGAGTAAAGTTTATTATTGAATGACTTAATTTAATCTACCACATACCTTGTAAACTTGTCCGTACGTGCCATTGCCGACGACTTCTATTAATTCAAATATCCCTGCAGGATCCTGAAATGATAAATTATTTTAATGAATTCGCATAGAAAGGTTATTATACAATTTCAAAGTAAACCTTCACTTATGATTCACGCCCTGTGAGATCATTGCCCTTTGATTATTATTCTAAAGTTCGGGGTGCTCCGATATTTTAGAACTTTCTAATAAGATCTTAATTTTATGGGTTTAATTTAAAGTATACCTTTAAAGCGCTGAGATCAATGTCGTCTAATGAACAATTTACAGACGGTGCCAGTTGATGCGCCATTTTGAGTATATTGTCACACACGAAGACAAAGCACGGGACCCTCACATGAATATAAAAAGCGTATAAAACACCTAATCTATAACATTGACAGAGTGATTAGATTTCCTTTTATTATCGCACCACTAAACAATTTATAAAACTCATTGTTTACACTTAAAATAAGTAAATTACAGATACACAAGTGGTACGTCGCTTACACACACCCGGCTGGGATGCCACATTAATAATTTCATAGATAAAAAATATTTATAATGATTACTGAAAAAATACAATGTAGTTTATGATAAACTTAATAATATAATTAGGCAAAATTATAGTTATGTATTACAAGAATATCTAACATTGGTTTTGGTTTGATTAAAAAGTAATGAAATTAGATGTTCTTACAGCGCCATCTAGTTACTTGTGTTGTGTATCGTAAACATGAAATATGGAAATTTTTGAAAATAGCTGACCCGCGCCATTCTGTCTGCTTCTCTCAAAAGGTATTAATTTTCTCCTTGGTCGTAGCGTGATGTTAAAATTATTACCAAATCGGAATTGAAGTACGCCCTTCAATTGCTTTTAGGCTGTCTAATCTAAACGTCTAGGCTAATTTCCAAGATAGATAAAATAACAGATTTAGGAGTTTTACTTACAAATTAAGATGTTTTCAGACCACATTTTGTTACATGATAATACTGGTGACGGAGTAAGAATACGGAGTGTCCACCACTATTCATCCTGCGGGTGTCGTAAGAGTCGACTAAGGGAGCAAACTACTCAGGAAAACAGCACTGCAAAGAGAAGGAGAACTTCACAAAAACCCTATACCAACCGTGGTATAGTAAGCAATACCTTCTTTCTAAGGAGAAGCCTATGCAGTCCCTCCAGCACTGAATTATTAAAGGCTGTTGATGATGAACCTTCATTTCGTTTTCGACGACTATTACCATCAATTTTTTTTTCTAAATGTAGATTATTTATTTTGCAAGTAGCAATAGCTTTATCGACGCAAACAACTTTCAGTCATCAGAACGTGTTAACTGAGTCTAGAAAAGTTTAAACTTTATATTCACAGATGGCGGTAGAGTCGAATAAAATCGCAGTGATTACATGCAATTGGAATAAGTAGTGTCACAGTCAGGCGAAAATTTCGTCAATTATTTCCTCTAAGTTGATAACTCATAAAATGCTTCAGAGATTTGTATCCTGAAGCGCAGTGATCGTCAGCTGCAGCTCCGTGGGTGGGTTGAGCAGAAGTAGCCGCACGCACGTGATAAAAAAATATTTTTAAACATTTTAGCCTTTAGCCCAATGTCTTGAGTGGTGAATTATACGACAGCTGGTCACACAAACATGAAGCAAATATATATATGTGTTCAGTGATTTGTTGAGTGAGATGAGAGAGAGTGACAGATGATTTTATTTTACTGTTAATAAATTTAAAAGTCAGCTGGCTATATCTAGGTGGAATGCTTGTCAGCTGATGCCCTGAAAGGTGTAGCGCAGGAGGCAGCAGGAAGCATCTATCGCCTATTTAAATGTATCATTTGATGAGTTTTCCTCCGGCATACTGGTACCGCAATTACCAAGTTATGCAAGAGATAACAAAAAATAACCATATAAATTTTGTATATTCTAATTACTTAGTCACAGCACTGTTCATTTTTGGTAAATGCCTAGTGAGGCGTGGTGAACTCTGCATATGCGAAGTTTCTGATATTGTACTTAGGGATGTAACATCATATGTAAAACTAGTCAAAACTATGTATCGATGTTAATAATTTCTAGCTTCTAAGTAAATCGACTTGAAAGAAAGAGGTTATATGTTCGGCTGTATGTATATTTTTTTTTTTATTTTATTATTATCTTTATTCTCGTCATATACGGCCTTATTTTAAAAATCGGTTTTGCGTATGAACTTCGTGGCATGACAGCAATTTAGACAATGTGTCAAACGAACCCAGTGGTGCATTAACATGGCCAGTAGAGAGCTTATGTAGATCTCAATGTCTGATATTCTTCTAGGAGAATGTGCCGATTGTAAAAATCCATTGGTCAGAAAAAAAATCTGAGCAAATCTCTTTGCATAGTCGGCAAAACGATAACCAAGCCACAGATCAATCTTATTTATAGTGGATTTTTAACTAAATTAACTTCTACAATTAGGATATGATTGCAGATTTATAAGTCTGTCGATTATAAGGATATATAAAAATATTTTCGTATGTTGCTTGGTTTTGTTTTTTATTTTATCTAATTCCTATTCCGGGCACGAATAAAACTTGGTAAGGTCAAAGTAATAAAACATTAAATTCTAGCATTACTTAACTACTACCGTTTACAAAGTACTACTTTAACACTACTTATTTAATAATTCTAATTAAATAAATATTTGTTCTTTTAGTGAATAGTTTACATGAACATGAACCACATAGGAAATACAACGGATGCTATCAATAAAGCATTTATATTTATTGTGCAGTGCGTGTTAAACGTAACGGGTACGGGCTGACCGTCTTAAACCAAATATTTATTTTATTTAATAATTTACACAACTTTATGCACTCTTGTACATCAGCGGGCTTAATTCACAGGGCATTCTCAACCTTTGGGTGGTGTAAAAATCGTTAGTGGTAGGCGCACATAGGTTGCATCACTATTTAGCTAAAATAAACTACACAACACAACATATTTAGATCTATATACAAATAAATATACAATACTTATATATATATATATATATATATATATATATATATATATATATATATATATATCTGATGGCGGCACTTGTCGTTAGAGAGCAACCAGCGCACCACGTCTGCGACGAATCGCTGTTTATCTTAGCAAAAGTCATAGTGATTTCGAACCAAATAATACATACGCAAAGATGAGTTCAGATGAAGTCCTTTATGTGCCAACTATATAAATATATTTATACACAAACATACATATTTATATTAGGTATATTCGTACACTGTTAAGGCGGCAGTTCCAATCAATATTTGTTTTGTGTGTCTCTCTATCGCTCAACAGATGGCGCTGTCGTCGAATTAGATGTCAGTATTATTTGTTACCGACACGCGTTTATAACGGAACTTTTGGTTTTTCCATAAAGGCTTTTTTATAGCGCTTTTGAATTTTACTAGAAAGTTCCTAGTCAGTTCCATACAACACGAATATTCTAGAATCAGTCACGCGTTACTTTCATCGCCATCTAGCGCTGTAAGTATCAGAACTACTCATATTAACCACAATCTTAATAGATGTACTTGGTCGATACTAGATGGCGCTGTCCTCCACATTCCATACAATCGTACCATTTAATTCTATGGCGCAACACTGCCCCCTCCTAAGATATACTCGTCCCGAGCATTATCGGTTCCATAATATCTCGCCAATCGATCCACATGAACTATCTTTGGGGCGTCTCCTGGACACTTCTGTATCCGGTAGGTGACATAATTGATTTTCGTCACCACTCGGTTTGCTCATCCCATTTGGTTTATAGCTTCGGAGATCTCCCTTTGCTGCGAACTGGATTATGTAGTCTTACAAGCGAACTTTCTTCGAAGCCTTTATTGATCATTTTTCGGTCATAACGGGTGTTCATCTTCACAGACATTTGTTGGCCCAATTGTCTGACATGCTCCTGCTGTGCTTGCTGTAGGCTTTCCTTCCACGCATTGCTTAGGTCCGTCCTTAGCGTCCTTACAGGCATAACTTCCTTTACCTCTTGCTTGGTACAGTGCTTGTAGTCTTTAGGATATGGTCTTCTTGATAATGTGTCTGCGTTACCAAGAAATTTTCTACTGCGATGGTGGGCAGTGTTATTGGCCACCCTAATCTTCTGAACCCACTCGTCTTTACCCCCTGTGCTGCGCTTAGGGCAACTAGACCGATGATGACCCTTTTCGCCGCATTCATAACATCTAGGTCATGAGACATGACCATCGGTCTCAACAGGTGCCGCCACAATCTGCCGGACCTGTTGAGACCGATGGTCATGTCTCGCAGCATCCACTTCAAAGCATTAGCCAAGGCGTCCTTGAGAGTTTCATGGTGTCCAAGTCTCATAGCAGCTTTAACTTCAAGCACTCACAGCACTCAATCTGCCTCACAGCAGCTCAAACTTACCTAATCCTATGGCTAACTAACTTGTAAATTGTTAAATAACTTAATACAATGGAACTTATAAAAATTCAAGAAGATATTCGTTCGCAACTACAGAAAGTAGAGGTGAATTTCAAGAAGAGTCCAAAAGACAGAATATGTAAATGTTACATAGAGAACAGGATAGAAATTATAAATAAAAAAGACGTGTGGCACTCGGGGACTGCCGCGGTAAAGCTATTGCATATCATTTTTTATCAACTTATGCAATTATAATTATTTATTTATTTTATTTGTGCAGTATTTTTTTCCTTTGTTTTTTTTCTTTGATATTAATTCAGGTTACACTTTTTGAGCGTGGTGACCGATAAGAGAACATTTTTTTTTCTTTTATTAAGTAAATGAGAACTTAATATTGTTCAAAATATTTTTATTATCTTACAATACATGTAGGTTATTCAGGAATATTTAGGTGGTCCCATATTTTGTTGTGGATTCTTGTGGATCATGATTCATTTTCAAATTCAATATTTTCAAAAGAAAAGATACAACCGATTCCACCTAGAGGCGAGTTGCTGAACTAAAGAGACAAGCGTGATATTTCAAAAGTCATTAAAAGTTCATTAAAAGATCGATAGATGGCAAAACTAAAAAGTATCACGTGGGGAGCGTGAGGTTTTTTTTCGTTACGGAATTTCTGGATTCGGTCCCCGCGCTCAAGGCCCTCGATAGAAGCTATGCAATAGCTTAATAAATGTCAAGAATTCACACAAAATAACAACGATATTTTAAAAAGAAAGGAGACCGAAGGAAGTAGTCATTTTCTAAAGGATGTACACAGTGAAGTGGAAGAATTTTACCTAGAATTTAAATCAGAGCTAGGCGAACTTTTAGGTAAACTG